TAACTTTCTTTTTCTTTTCCCTAGTATCAATACTAGGGGTGGAAGTTCTGTCAATATCATTAGCATCCATATCGGTACTAACACTTCCATTCTGCGACTGAATATTGTTGACATTGAACATGTTGGGGAATTGGTTTTAGGAGTCGACCATTTTTTTAATTCTAAAAAAATAAAAATTATTTTAATTGCACTTGGATTGCTAGTTTGGAATCCCAACTTGATTTCAACGGTTGAAGCCTTTCAACCCCAAAAGTCCAAGACTCCCAAATTGCTAACTTGAGATACTTAAGCTGTTGAGCAAGCTTTATTCTTATTGAAACTTCAATAAAGTTGAGAATTGGAGAATCAGAGAATGTATAAAAGATTGAAAGATTAAGACTTGAGAGAGTATAAGAACTAGATAAGACATTAAGAGAATTGTTGAATTAGTGTGATGAGAATAATGGAGGATAGGGCTATTTATAGAAATTGAAAATAATTAAATTGCCCAAAATGCCATAAAAACTAGCTATTTTTTAATTGTTGGGAGGGGTATTTTCGTTATTGTAAAGTTATATAGCTGTTGGGGGGCATTTATGTTATTATTTCTGCTCCCAAAACCAAAATACATAAATAACCCCTATATAGCTATTTATATCTGTTGGGGATATTTTTGTAAACCCCCCAAAAAAAGCTGGAACTAGCCATTGGGACATCGGACAGATTAAGCGTGGCCCGCTGGCCATGCCAGCCCGTAGACCTGGAACCCCAAGTCTAGCACAACCCAAACCATCGTGCCAAACTTGGCACAGCCCGCGTGCTGTTATGCCGTGCCACCCGGCCGATCCAAATTGGGGCCAGGTCGTGCCGGATCGTGGGCAACACAGCCCGTAGTATACAATACTATAAAATTAACCCTACACAAATTTGAATATTTGATTGATTAAATTATATATATTCAATCATATACATTCCTTGATGCTTTGGTCCAATATATTGAGTAGGAGTGTTTATGGTTTAAACTGTGAAATTGAACGGAATCTAACTGCAATTGGTAATTTGGATATAAAAATGGTTTAATTCGTTTGGGATGCTTTAAAATTTCAGTTTACGATTTTGATTCGATTTTTTGTCTTAATTCGACGTCTTTTGTTTAACAAATCCGTTTCATGGTTATGTGGGTAGAAGTTAAACTTATGCATGGGTATTTTTTTAAAGTTATGTCGACTTGTCAAACTAGGTGACCATTTTGAGTCCCAATTATTGATAAATTGGCTCTATGTCCGTATTTTGAGCTACGATTGTAATGGGACTTTAGGATTATTTTGATCTATTCTAACCTGATTAAGATTTGGCCAAATTTTTAAGTATATATATATACAAGATGATAAGATACAATCAACGTTTTTTGTGTTTTTTTTGGGTTTAATTGATTTGTAATAGTTTTATATAAGACCAGTTAGTTTACACGTGCAAATGCATATGCAAATAAAAAGATGAATCTGAATGTAAAGCCACGACTAAAAAAGAAAAGAAAAGGCTGGAATTAGCATGCTTGTTGTCAATATAACAAACTAAGCCAATTACCATATAATCAAAGCGGTAATTTTGGCACCTCCCGCGGTCCCGCCGAGGATGTGTGACTGCGTGAGCCTACAGTCTACACTTAGTGAGAAAGATGTGTTCTCCATGTCGTGTAGGAAGTAGATCCTATATGTGCAGCAAGTTACAAGATATTGAAACGTATCAGTGTATATTGATTGATATGTATCAGTTTTTAAGATTATTGATGCATTATATAATAAGCCTAAACAATAGAATTAACCGATTTTAATTGTTTGAGACTTTAATGTAATGTAATAGGTGTCTTTCCAAATAATCAAACCCTATAGTATATATAAATTTACATCAAAATAAACTCTCAATTTACAAAATTTGCATATTAAGAATATTGATATTTTGAACCTTGATGCACACCCTTAATACTCTATCTTCGTTAGTTTTGTACCCAAATTGGGGCCAGAGGAGAAAGGCTCATAAAGCATGAACTGATCCTATTGAATTAAACCCAATAAACCCCCCCAAAAAAATGTCTCGACTTATCAATTGATAGAAAATGCTGACAGAGAGAGGTGATGATGAAAAGTGCTTAACAAAATTTGTTAAATTTTCAAAGAATTTTCTTTTTTTCTCTCTCTTATTTTCTACCAAATCAAATACAATTAATCATGTAAGAAGTGATAGTTATAAAAAGAAAAAGGGTTATTAAGACAAAGATTTACCATCTCTAACATGCATTTTTTTCCTGAGCCAATTTAGGTTAGAACTAGGATGGTGAAGCTGGTATTTGATAAGTAAGCGAGTAACTGAACTACTTCCATGGACTATGTGTGAATGTTTGATTGTTGGTTGAATCATTCAGAAAATATTTCTAAATGATCAATTAATTATTATTTATATACAGCAAGCTGAGGCTCTATGTGTTGCTCACTTACTACTTGGTCATTACTCTTGGGTGGTGGGTTGAAAATTCGTAATGTATACGGTTAATGCATGCTCTCTATTCATTCTTAAAAGAAGGGATGACAAATACCTTTTATTTTCCGTAATTTTAAATTGCAATTGTTTATATCAGTGTGTTTTTATCATTTTTTGCTTGATATTTATTATATAATGTTGGACTTTTGAAATAAAGAGGGAACCCTTTCGTGGTGTGATTATCATCACAGTACAAATTTTTTGCTTGGGTCTACTTATTCCATCTAATCTTGTAATGGACGATAAAAAAAAAAAAGGCATGATAGCAACCAGCACTAAAAACCCATGGTACCTCAATGGTGGGAGCCAAGGAGTACGGAAATACCGAATATTAGCATGGTAGATGGTTCCCACCCCTCCCACACCTCAAGTCCGTAGCACGTTTGAAAAGGGCGATGCATCATTGGCGTTGCTTGATGACAATGCCCTATACTCCTATCAATGAATTCACATTGCATATCGTGGCTGGCGTTCACACTTAACACTGCAGTCTCGGGGAATGCCAAGGCTATGATTAGCTGCTCACCGTAGCGGATACCACTGCCTTATATCGTGGGTCTGATACCATTGCGGCATTGCCTTGTCGGTTTTGGTGTTTAAACTGGGCGACATACGAAGCACCGGAGAAATGATGTTCCGACCAATGATACGCTCCATCCATGTTTACAGGCTGACGTAGAGTTACGGTCCGTTTGATAATGCTTGAATTAAATCACTTTATTATCTTTTACTCCACAAATTACTAATACTCGTCATATATAAACTTAAGCAAGCTCGGGCTCAGCCACTTCAACCGGTAACAAACGGTTTCGTATGGGGTTTGTGTAGCACAAATAAAGACGATGGAGCATTTGAGCGTTCAGTTTCAACTTTTAACCTTCAAGGGAAAGGAGGGAATTCAACGGCAACGGGGCCTTAATCCCTTCCCACGCTCTTATTTCTAGTTTCTCCAAACCAAGCGGTTTCATGACTCATGACTCATGCCAACGAATTGTGGGAACGTCCAACAAGGGCCCACATGTCGTGCCACCTCACGCGTTTTCACTTGCTAATTCCTTAACACCAAGTACCTCCACCATGTGGTGATAGGTGAAGCTGTCTTGTTATTCCTGGATATAACATTTGAACTTAAACACCATCCTTTACCAGAAAAAGACTCAATTCCTGGATATATTAATACATGCGGGGGGGGGGGGGGGGGGGGGGTGTGGCTGATTTGGACTTGAAGTAATGTGTGATGTGACTTTGGGCAATCCTTGTTTGGCTTCATTAATTAATTAATATCCAGAAATTTTAAAGAATTTTTTTATCCTTTCGAATTTTCATTCCCCAAGGCACTGGAGATCATATGGTTAATTTAATAACAAATTACAAATATATTTGATTTACTGTTTTCATCCTTTTACGGTTAAACTTATAACCGATCATCGGGTATAGAAGCCAAAATTACAATTCACCCTACTATAAGAATCGAGAGGCTGAGGTTTGGCTTTTAAGGTGAACAACTTCACCCTGATGTTACTCTTTTATTATATAAAAGGGCAAAAAAAATACAAGCCAAATATCTCAATGTTTTTTGAGCAATGCCAATTAAATGCATGTTATGTTATATCATCAATTCATAGCCAAAGTTCAAAACAATAAAGCATGCATCGACGAGGCAGGAGGGAAGGGCCTCCAGAAGATTAAATATTACATACTGAGAAACCGAGTGAGCAGGCAAATTAGATTGCCTAGACGTATATACTAAAATGGTTTAAAAGATTTGTTGTTCAAAAATCAAAATATAAAAGAAGTCAGATGTTACATAATACATTATCGCGGCGAGCGAATCCGACTCTATCACTACCGGTTGCCAAACTTTTGTTTTTTCGCTAAACTGGTGGAGGCCTGCAGCCTGGATAGCTAGAACTAGAAGCTCAGCCTCCACCACACCTAATGACAACTTGAGCAATCCTCCTGCAGGCTGCAGCAACCAAGAAAAGTCGTATATTCTGATTAGTGAAGCAGACTAATTAAACAGTTTTTTAATATAAAGAGGCTGACAATATAGCTTAAATATTTCAACCTAATTTTTTTTTTATCTGTTAAAATAATAAATGCAGCCTTTCCTTTAATTATTTCTTTTGGCCAGCAAAGAAATTCATGTTTTAAAGTGTAAGAGTGTGATTCGTTAAAGACTTAAAAAAGAGTTATGAGAGCATCAGAGAGAACCTACACAAAACACAATCTTAACATCCGCAGAAAAATTCCGACGACCCGTTTGGTTTTGGACATTTTGCATTCTCGTAGTGTAGTGGTAGATAAAATACCAAAATGAAGGGAGATTTTGGTAAAGAGGGTGGGTGGGTGCGGGGTAGCTTTCAAAGTAGAGGCTGTAGAGAGAGGTTTTAACTGTCATTTTCACAAAACATGAAGGACAAGGACGTAAACTCAAAAGCTATAAAGAAGGGAAGGAGATTTTCGATATGCGGGCAAGGAACTTCTTTTTCTATATGTACTGTTCGGCTGAGAATAAGCTGTTTCTCTGTTCGTCTTCTCATCCACTCCACTCCCTTACCCTTTGAAAAAGGGCGGATGTTACATTGGTGACACTCTCTCTCCCTTTCCTCTCGAATCTTCTCCATCTTCTTTTAACATTTTTCTCTCTTACCGCTGATTCTCTGTGGGTACGCTTGAGCTTTTCGTTTCTCTCCGTGAATTTCTCTCCATTTTAATTGTTTCCTTAGCTTTCTGATAAGAGAGAATTCAGAAGAGTCTCTCGTCGTCCAGAGAGCCGTCTGTAAACGGGAAAACAAATGATTGTTTTTCTACGATCTTGATTTTTTGGTAAAACTTAACGCAGCTTGAGATTTCTAGAGGTGATATTCTAAGATGGATGCTTCTAGTTCTCGAGTTATTTTTCACTGTGAATCTGATCTGCAAACACGAAAGTTGAGGACCGGGTTGTAAAGGAGATTTTTCATCTTTGAGTTTTTCTCTTATTTTTCTTCTTCTTTTTTTTTTCCTCACTCCTTGATTGATGTTTGAGTTGATATTTGTTAAAGGTTCATGCGCTTTGTAAAGCTCGTTAGAGAGAATATTTACTGTTGCGAACGTTAAGTGTATTTGTTGGAATCGAGGTTGATAGAGGAGCTTTTGTTTGAGGATATTTATCTGGATATATTTTGGTTTTTCTTAAGAACTAGGTTTGCAGTCGAGTTTGATGAAGGATATCTCGTGCTTAAAGAGTTTGTTGAGTAAAAGGTCTGGCCGGAGTCTTTATTTCTGCAGTTCCAAGGTTGCAGTAGCAGAATATTGGTCAAAAGAATCACAAAGTTCAGCTTCTTCTGCTTTAGACACCACAACAAAAGCGGTCTGCTTCATTGTTCTAGAAAACTTTGACAAGAATGAGATGATCTTGGTTCAAGGTGTCGGCATCTCTCAGGAAAATCGGCAAGCTTAGTCGTGCTTTGCTTATTCAGTTATCTCCAACTTCGCCGAGTAAGCCCAGGAGATTTCAGAGAGAGAAGAAAAAAAGAAATACGGTGCTGTATTCTTTGAGATTTTCAACTGTAAATTCGCAAGCAACGTTTTCATGTATAAATAACTCCAAAAGCTCTTTTGGTGTGAGAATCTTTTTTCAATCCGCTGAAGCTCTTAATTATCGTACGTTTTACACAAAGACGGAGTTTACGAGAGAATCTTAGGCAAGACTGCCTGCTTAGAAGACCGCTCGTTAAGCGCCTATTTCTGTCTCTTTCTCTTCCATAGAGGATTTTGAATTCTAGTGGCAGAAAAAGAGAGCCAAAAAAGAAAAAGGAAAAAATGGCGATGGCCGTGGCGCCGCATAGAGAGAACAGCAGCGGCAGCATTAACAAACATCTGGATACCGGAAAGTATGTCCGCTACACCGCCGAGCAGGTCGAAGCTCTCGAGCGAGTCTATGCCGAATGTCCGAAGCCGAGTTCGATGAGACGGCAGCAGCTGATCCGCGAGTGCCCGATCCTCTCCAATATCGAACCCAAACAGATCAAAGTCTGGTTCCAGAATCGCAGGCAAGAACTTGTAGCAGAGATGTTTCTCTTTTACTCCATCGTTTTTTTATTTGCTCAATGCCTTTTGTTTTGTCTGCAAGCATTTCTTCTCCCACCAGCAGCTTGGCTGTTTCTTGTCCATGCAAAACCTGGATTCTGTGGGCGTTGCGATTTGTCCGTGTCGTAAACCGATTCGAACGAGTTTTGCCTTATTAGAGAAATCTAGTTTCTAGCTATATTTTAACATGGCGATTTTTTTAAGAGTACACAGTACACAGTTCATTACTCATTAGCTCCTGTTCTCCTGAGAGCTGAGAACCATTTTATTTATTAGAATATGACCGATTCTCGGAATCGCCCGAGTCGGAACGCCTCCCGCCAACTCATGAGTCCGAGTTCCTACTGCTTTTTCATAGAACAGAATAGATGTAGAGTTCTGTAATTCGCTTTGTTTTTAATCCATTAAACCTAAGTTAGGAGGCAGAATGAGATGGGAATTCTGTGTTACTGATTTTTGTTAATGTTATTTTCTTGTAGGTGCCGTGAGAAGCAGAGGAAGGAGGCTTCTCGACTTCAGACCGTGAACAGGAAGTTAACAGCAATGAATAAGCTGTTGATGGAAGAGAATGATCGTCTTCAAAAGCAGGTATCGCAGCTGGTGTACGAAAATGGGTACATGAGGCAACAACTGCAAAACGTGAGTTCTGTCCATCATAAACTTTTGCCGATTTTGAATTTGGCTTATTCATTTACCACGGCTTTTAGTTTTGCCGCTCTCTGTGCATCATTATCATCACGCATAAGTTCTTGTTTGTTTCTCTTGGGGATCCTTCTTTTCCTTTCCCTGCTCATATATCTTATTTATTCACAGTGGTATGGTAGTTCCAGAAAAACTGCCAATGTGCCAATGTTACTTCTGGAACACCCGAACCTTATGATCTCTGTTACTATCCAGTTTATCCTATAATAGGATCTAAATCCTTAATGTTCTTCTACGTCTACGAAGAATTTTGTTTTTAGCTGGCTCTATTCACTCCAATTTTCTGTTAAATCTATTTTTGCATGACGCTAGAATAAGAAATCAAAGGATTTTAACGCATGCAATTTTTTTTTTCACTTCAAAGAAATAAAATTTCATCTATTCCTAGTACATGGAATCAGCATTAATGTTGTATAGGTCCTTGCCTCCATGGAGGCTTCTGTGAATGTTTACCCTTCTCGGTTTCCTGATCCATGTTTGGTTTTATGCAGGCATCTGTGTCAACTACTGATGCAAGCTGTGAGTCTGTAGTTACCACTCCTCAGCACCCCTTAAGAAATGCCAACAATCCTGCTGGGTCTCTCTCCTCTCTCTCTCTCTCTCTCTTTGTGTGTGTGTGTGTGAGAGAGTGAGTGAGCGCGCACGCTCACAAGTGAGTGGGCATTACCCTAAGAAATGCCAACAATCCTGCTGGGTCTGTGTGTGTGTGAGCTCGCACGCTCACAAGTGAGTGGGCATGTTGGAGTCGAATGATTTATCTTTATGTTTGTTTCTGATCTCTATTTTTTCCTCTGTATGGCAGATTGCTCTCGATTGCAGAGGAGACCTTGGCAGAGTTCCTTTCAAAAGCTACAGGAACTGCTGTTGATTGGGTCCAGATGCCTGGGATGAAGGTTTCTGATTGTTATCTAAATTATTCTTTTATTTTTTCTGAATCATTTTATTGGTACTTTCTTAGGGCAGTGTGAAGCTTGAGATTACCATGCAAGTCTGTAGACTTTCCTCTTTGTGAAGCCTAAGGCGTTTACACTTAATGTCTCCAGCCTGGTCCGGATTCTGTTGGGATTGTTGCCATTTCACATAATTGCAGTGGAGTGGCAGCACGAGCCTGTGGTCTTGTAAGTTTAGAACCTACAAAGGTGAGAAGTGAAAATGTAAATCTTTTTTTAATAATATAGTTGAATTGAGATGACTATTGCCATGTTGAAATTCTGGATTACCTTTAATATTTTGGAAGAGGGATTTTCCTCAATTTGTTTGAGGGAGTTAAATTAAAAAAACCTTTAAAATCTGTCCATTTAAAAGTTTCAAAGTTGATTATAGAAATGGAGGTATAACAAAAAGAAGCTGTTTCATTTTCCTCTCAATTGTTAATTATTTTCCCTGGTAATATTTTTTTGACAGATTGCAGAGATCCTCAAAGACCGTCCATCTTGGTTTCGAGATTGTCGGAACCTTGAAGTCTTTACGATGTTTCCTGCTGGAAATGGAGGAATGATTGAACTGATATACATGCAGGTTAGGAAGAGTGGGTTGGATATTTTATTCTTCTGAGCCTGTCACAAAGTGCACCCATTTAGTTTTTCTCTTCACATTAGATTACGTATAACATACGGATGTTTTCAGATGTATGCTCCAACTATACTGGCACCAGCTCGGGATTTCTGGACTTTGAGATACACCACGAATTTAGATGATGGCAGTCTTGTGGTATGTAGTCATGGAAGTTGTATAGCATGAAATATCATTACATTTCTCATGCCGTCAGTTTCCCATGTGGGGACTCTTTAAATAGTGAATAAAAAGTCGACTAATTAATGCATTGGCTTGGTTCATAGTATTGACCATTGTGCACTAATTGTTTTTACTATCTTACAATTGATGGGAACTTAGAAAATAAAAAAGAAGAAATACAAGATGCATTAGATTGAAAGTTAGTCTATTAACATCATCATTATTGTTATTTAGTGGAGCAACATTTGATATCCAATATGCCAAATTGGTTTATGGTAAATGTTCTCACAACCACAGGCATTAATTTGTACTAAGATATATCGCATTGTGTTGGGAGACAATCCTTTATTGTTTGGCTAGGATTCCTTGCATATTGAAAACTTACCAATTGGCAATTTCGTTTTTGCAATATATGGAATAGATGTATCCTGGCAGCTAATTGTGCTGTCCTTGGCTAGCTGTAAGATTTCTATAGATAGGATGATCTGATTATATGGCTGAACCTGTGCTTGGAGTTTTGGATGGTTCTTTCTATCTCTTGGTTTAGATGCCGTGTGAATAGATTTACACTGCTGTAGCATCTTTACATATCTAATTTTTTGATGTAACCTCACCTACTCACTGTCTTACAAATCTTTTTTTGGCTTGTTTTTCAATCTCTCAAGGTATGTGAGAGATCTCTCTCTGGTTCTGGTGCTGGCCCAAATGCAGCAGCTGCTACCCAATTTGTTCGGGCTGAGATGTTACCCAGTGGTTACTTGATTCGGCCATGCGAGGGGGGAGGGTCAATCATTCACATTGTTGACCACTTGGATCTCGAGGTTTGTTTTCTAGTTAATAAAAATTTTGTTTCCAAGGCAGCATATTTATTTTATTCATTCTCCATTGTTCAGGCATGGAGTGTTCCTGAAGTACTGAGACCACTCTATGAGTCGTCAAAAGTTGTTGCCCAGAAGATGACGATTGCAGTAAGTAGTGAATTGCTAGAGATCTCTCAATTGTTTTCAAACAAACCTATTCTACATTGTCACAATGGATGCCTTCAAACAGTTCAATTGGTGAGCCGATTGAAGCATGGGCAAGGCCTGAAACCTCACCATGTGAAGGATCATAAAAGGATCTTACTTTCTTAGAAACTTAAATTTTGTTTCAATTGCTATTGCTGCATTTGGCACAAAGACCCCCACTACACTCCTGAATAAAAAAATAAAAAATAAAGGATGAAAAACAAGAAGTAAGAAAGAGAAGAAATCATAGCTGCACATGGACCACCGCTACACTATTCAACTAAAAATGTAAAATAAAAAGATAAAAAAACAAGAAGGAAAAATTATGAGATTGTAACTGGTTGAATTATTTTCTGTGAAGGCACTGCGCTACATTAGGCAAATAGCTCAGGAGACCAGTGGTGAGGTGGTTTATGGTTTGGGTAGGCAACCTGCTGTCCTGCGAACTTTTAGCCAAAGATTGAGCAGGTAATTTGTATGATAATTGTAGGTTGTTTTTCTTCTCTTTTTCTTGTGTATATATTGTTATTTGATTTAGAGGCCATTATTTGATGTAATGGTAAAATCCCAGGCTGACAAACGTGAAAACGTGGTTCAAGTCTGAGAGCAGCCTCTTTGTGCAAGAAAATGCCAAATGTTAGGACCATATCCAGTTTACCCCTCCCAAAAACCCTAGATAGATGGGACCAGCATGAGTAATGGCCTTTTTTATGTGTCATTATTGATTATTGATTTCTATCTAATTTTTAGAGGATTTAATGATGCTATCAATGGATTTAATGATGATGGCTGGTCGTTGATGAGCTGTGATGGTGCTGAAGATGTAATAGTCGCTATTAATACAACCAAGAACATGAGCACTATTGCCAATGCTTCCAACACTCTTACATTGCCTGGAGGTATTCTCTGTGTGAAGGCATCTATGCTACTCCAAGTGAGTTTTGAACCTATAATCGAAAATTTGTCCATCAAAATTTTTGAAGTTTATGAATTATGAGAATTTATTTTCATATTTTCACAATTAAGCATTGGAAGGCATCACTCATTTTATTATACTGCTTGGGTACAACAATGTAATGCCAAAATATAATGGGTTATTAGACATTATAGAACTTTTTAGGGAAAAGTCGTGATAGATCTTCAATTCACAAATTACCGAGAGAGAGCATATGGTTACTGTTAACATGGGGATGATGAAGACAAAGGAGGATAAAATTGAGCTATTTGGGGTCTATTGTCATTTTGTAAGGGGGTGCAACTTGGGTGAGATCAGATGGAGCACTTGTTAAAATTTGAATGGTTCTAGGCTGGGTAGATTCTTCATGTTGGGTACCCGACAAGCACCCCTATCCTTTTTGACCTTGAGACCTTAAGCCTCAACTGCATACCTTGGGGTTGACATGTATGCCTTAGCCAACAAAGTCCTGTCCTTAATTTTTCGAGTTAAGTTTTGAACCTCAAATCATAGATTCCTATTACAAGGTAGCATGTATAAAATTTGTTGACATGTAGGGATTAAGTCAGTTTTGTTTTGTTTCTTTAGTGGTAACTTATCAGATTTGGTTCAATTGAGAAGGTCAGTTTCAGAAGGGCTGTGGCAAGTGTCCCATACGGGATTAAGTAGGTTTTGTTGTCATCCTTTCTGATAAGTAATATCTTCCCAATTCTGATCCCCATGACCCGTTTTTCATGACATTGTGAGGTGAAGCCTGAGAATTTGAGTTTTAGTAGTTAATGAGCATATGACTTATAGAAAATACTCTGTTGGTTTGATTATTGATGATATGTTTGTTCGTATTCTTAGAATGTTCCTCCTGCACTGCTGGTTCGTTTCCTGAGGGAGCACCGGTCTGAGTGGGCTGATTTCAATGTTGATGCCTATGCTGCTGCATCAATGAAAGCAGGCTCATATGCATTTCAGGGCTTGAGGCCAACCAGGTTTTCTGGGAGTCAAGTCATCATGCCACTTGGCCACACAGTTGAACAAGAAGAGGTATGGTAATGCTGTAGTTCAATTTATGTTTTTTATATAAACTTAAAACTTCATTTTTTGTTAAGATTTCTGCAATTCCTTTCAACTGCCTTTTTTTTTGGGGGGGGGGGAGGGAGGAATTTTGCAAAAGACATTTTTTACATGATCAAACTTATAACATGAACATATATAAAGGGTATAGAGATGCTGCAATTGTGGATGAATTCATGTTCATTGTAGTTCCTATCTTATTTTTCCTTTCGTTTTTTATTCTTAAATTGGTTGTGATTTTCTTTTTCAGTTGCTTGAAGTAATTCGTCTTGAAGGTCATGCTCTCACTCAAGAAGAAGCTGTTCTATCTAGGGACATTCATCTCTTACAGGTATCCTCTTAAATTTTAATCTATTTTCTATCATCCAAGTAAATTATATCTGTTCTTGTATGAAAAAGATTTGCTAATTTAAAGGCCACCACCCAATGTTGGTCCCAGCTATCTGGGGTGTTGGGAGGGGTGGACTGGATATGGTAAACAACTATATATAGTTCCAAACTGTCCTCAAAATTGAGAGTGCTGTTTTCCTCATCTTGATTCCTGAATCATGATGATGCAGACCGGCTAAGTTTTTTGTTTGGTTGGATCTATATACTCCTTTGTTTGGTTCCTTTGGAATTTATGGAAAAAAAAACAGGATAAAGGTTGTGCCAGAAAATTAAGAGTAAAGGTTCATAGAGTTGTTCCTTAATTTGGTTTAGTGCAAGTACAAAGAATGAGCAATTCTGATACCATTTTTGTCATTATTTTGATTGATTGTATGCTGCAGATTTGTAGTGGAGTGGATGAGAATGCAGTGGGAGCTTGCTCTGAACTTGTTTTTGCTCCTATAGATGAAATGTTTCCTGATGACTCTCCATTGCTACCCTCTGGTTTTCGGATAATACCATTGGATTCAAAAACAGTTGAGTTTATTTGTTGTTACACTTGAACCGTTTTGATTTCAATTATACATGTTTGTATAGGTTTATTCTTTTTCTTTTGGTTCCTCACCTCATTCTGTGTTCCCTTATCCTAAACCATGTCCCAATAATGGATCAGGTTTGGTTTGTTGTACAGCAGAAATAATAAGGTACTTCTGATTTTATAGCTGATGACCCAGTAGTTGACATGTCCACTAGGTGACACTCCAAAGAAAGCAGGCTCTATGTGGCATGGCCAGTGGGCCTCATGTTTGGAACTGCTTATTGTTGTCCCCCCTGAAACTAATGAATAGTTTTATGCAGTGTGAAAAACAAGATGTGTTGACTGCAAATCGTACGTTGGATCTAGCTTCCAGTCTTGAAGTAGGTCCAGCCACAAATCGTGCTGCTGGAGACACACCTTCAAATGCTTATAACGCGCGTTCAGTGTTGACTATTGCTTTTCAATTCCCTTTTGAGAATCATCTTCAGGAGAATGTTGCAGCAATGGCTCGACAATATGTCCGCAGTGTAATATCCTCTGTGCAAAGGGTTGCGATGGCTATAGCTCCATCTGGGCTTTGCCCACCCTTGGGCCAAAAGTTATCTCCAGGCTCTCCAGAAGCTCTTACACTTGCTCACTGGATCTGCCAGAGCTACAGGCAAGTTTTCTAAGCTTAAAATGCCTAAATATTGTTTTTCAAATATCAGGTTCATAATCTGTTCCAGGGCTTAAAATAATTTTGAAGCCTGTTCAATGCTTTGTCAAAGCTGGTCATTTTCAAATGAAGAAAGATCATGAACCATCCTGTATTTTCTTCATTCTTCTAAGACATGTTTCTCTTTTGTGTTATCTATTCAGTAACTATTTTGGAGCAGAGTTGCTGAGGACTGATTGCCAGGATGGAGAGTCAGTGCTAAAACAACTCTGGCATCATCAAGATGCCATATTGTGCTGCTCATTGAAGGTATTGTTAATAGTTCCTTTGAAAAAATTTGAATTAAGTGTATTATCATGCGAGTGTCATCAGTTATTTTTAAGCATGTACCCATGTGAATTAGTATTTGCGCAGCATTTTATCTTTTAGTTATGTTACCATTTGAATAAACATGTAAGCAGTAGTACCTTTTTGGTCTTTATTGTAATTTTCCAATCCGATTGCCATGTCTAGTACCTATTGTGTACATTATGACAAACCTCCATTATGAAGAAAATGCCCTGCATATCTACTAGAAGCTGCCTAATTAAGGACTTGGAGGATGTACTAACATTTTTTTTTTTTTTTTGCAGCCATTACCTGTCTTCACCTTTGCCAACCAAGCGGGGCTTGACATGCTGGAGACCACACTAGTAGCACTACAGGATATCTCGCTGGATAAAATTTTTGATGAGTCTGGTCGGAAGGCACTATGCTCTGACTTTGGCAAGATAATGCAACAGGTAATGAGCATGAAATGGGACATCTTATACTGTGAAATTCTAACATTCTTAAATTAGTACTCAAAGTGTCTGTTGAACTAATGATTAAGCCTTGATTGTTCTTTGTCAAATTGGACGTCAGAAAAACCTCTGTAAGATGTGATTAAAGAACGAATTTTGCCTGAAATGCTATTCCTTTCGTTACCTTAAAAAAGGAAATGTTACTCCTTTCATTATTTGATCCTTTTATTAGATCATATTTCTTGTGATGACCATTCGTAATCTTTTGAAATTTCTGCCATGCAGGGATTTGCTTATCTGCCTTCTGGGATTTGCTTGTCAACCATGGGACGGCATGTTTCATATGAACAAGTCTTTGCCTGGAAAGTCCTTGCAGGAGAAAATACCGTCCACTGTCTTGCATTCTCTTTCGTCAATTGGTCTTTTGTGTAATATTGTTTATTTATTCTCACTCCCAAAAAAGAAAAGAACACAAGAGTCGATAAAAAAAGAGGGGGGAGAGAGAGAGAGAGATAAATTTTGTACCAAATGATGTTTGCATATATTAAATTAATTAAAAAAAAATTGTTTCCAAACTCTGAACCCTTAGTTTGCACTCTACATATTTGCATTTATACTCCTTTCAAGCTGAGCCTTACCAATTATCATTGTGTTTAGAGGGGATTTACGGTCGAGAGGACCACAAGGGTTTTTCTCTTTCCCTTTCGTATTACATAGTAAACATTACGGGGAACATGGGGGCAGTGCATTTGCAGGGGAGTTTCATTGGCCATGCTGCTGAGAACGGAGAACCTATAGTTCCACAGATTTGATCCAGATCTTATTTTTTCGGAGGGATGTCGAGTGAGAGTGACCATCTCAGTTAAATCGGTTTTCTTAGTTGTGTCTGTTTCTGTGTGCGCGTGCCTGAGTCGTGAGACTTTCTTCCGTGTTTATGCGTCAGAATTTGCTGGATCGGAAAAAGGTAAAGCAAAAGCAACGGTCATAGGCAGTGTGAGGTAGGTAGCTTGTATTAGTATTAGTCATCGTTAAAGGAGGTGATGTCACCAATTCATCATCTAGGATTCGCGGAGGCTGCTTATTCTGCGTGGTCTTTTAGTGCCGGGTACCTTTTGTTTTTTGCGTGTACGAACTACGAAGTCAGGTGTATTGTGGACTCTGAAGTGTTGTTGATTGTTGATTGTTGAGCAAGACCCATAGTAGTAGCGTAGTATTGGCTTACTGCAGCAAAATACGCCAGCCTTTGGAATAGCTTTTTCTCCGTTACAACTTACCAGAATCGGGTCTTTGGTCAAACACATCTCTTGTCTTTGGCATTTGTATCGATTCTTGGGAATGGGAATTGTTTCTAATTTCTAATGTGCAGGAGGTCTGTACGGCAGGTCCTAGGCATGACCCCGTCTCAGAACGAGACCAACATGCGCTGTTCGGACTTTCAGATCTGCTAGTGCAGGGCAGAGTCCGCCTAGCACAGCTTTTTCATGCTTACATGCCCTTCAACTGCGGGACACATCTAATATATGCGAAACTAATAGATTGGCGCTAAAGTTAAACCCTTCAATTGGTTTCTTGCAATTTACCCTGCTGCCCTTTTCGTTTTCTTCTCTACGGAATGAACTTCCAATCTTAGGCATTTGATTTGTAGGAACAAGGGTTTGGAATCGAAATAAATTATTCTAATTTCAACTGTTTTCATTGGGCCGAATTAGAATCCCATTTTCATTAAGATGACGTTATTCAATTTGAGGGAGTGATCATTTCCTGCTTTTCTGTTGAGAATAAAATTTCATTTCCGCTGATTTCAATTTCTGTCTCAACCAAATAAACTGTGATAATAGGTCATTCTGATTTTGACTCCAATTCTGATTTCAATTTCGACTGTAAATCAAATATACCCTCACTTCTTTTCCACCGACGTAGTAAAACTAGTGTATGCGGAGTCAGGACTCAATCTCGGGACTTTGGTGGAGCTATTTTCTCTTTTTCTTTTTACTGGTGATTGGTGTGTCCACAGTTACGATTGGGAATGTCCATTTGATAGATGATTGCCTTTCACAGGAAGAAATCCATAATCCTCTTTCCATCCTCTGTTGATAAATAAGTGATGCCCAATTGATAGACTAATTAAGTATGTGTTTGAAATAGTGTGCTTTTATTTATTAAATGTTTGTGTTTGATTTATTTATAAAACCGAAAAAAACAATAATGAATCTGTTTATTGACAATTGGGCACTATTAAATACCACATGAGTAAAATAGTGAATAAACATTTATTTATTGGAAAAAGCGTTAAAATGAAAATTCCCTCAACGACAGACGTACACATAAATCAAAGCTTGCTTTTATAAGTCTATATGCGATGGATTCTCATAATGCTGAAGTGATACCTTATATAACGATAAATGCCTACATTCCAAACACCATCCAAGTCTTTGAACCCCTATAGATCCTATTGATTGCTTGCACTTTGTTTGGACAAATTTAGACAATATTCCTGAGGTTGAGGTTGGGGTGACAGCCAGCATTCGCAGATCACCCTTTGTCTTGTCTCTTTACTGCTGAGTCTCCTTTATTGCTCATGAACGTAAAGTTTCGATTAAATGATGTTTTCTTCTGCAACCTAGAGACATTTAATTGCGAAGCTGGATAATTTTGAGATTGAAAAAACAGGATATCAGAAAGTAGACCAACTGTGTAACAATAAAAAGAAACCAGGCCAACTTTATTTATTTATTCATTTAATTAGACCAATTTCGTCACATCTATTTCTTTACTTTTCTTTTCATGGACAGAGAGAAAACTTTAATTTAGTCTGCACAATTTGTTCTTTTTCTCTGATCGTTCAGCTGTTAGCCACTTGAGTAACATGGTAGACTAAACCTCCAAAATCATACATGATGAATAGGCTTCAGTACCGATCATGCCAACCATCGCATCCGTGGTCGTTGTGGTCGGATCCCACTAACTATGGTGAGTTCGTTAGGATTGTCATGGTGGTAGGAGCCTAGGAGGTCTCTTCTCAGTTGGGTGGGTTGGGTTGTGTGCGTATCTTTTCATGTGGTTTTTTGGCTATTTACAAGATGGGAAGATCGATTTTTGATCTACTCTTGTTTGATTTGTAAAAAATCTAACTACCAAAAAGATGTGAGAAACCCATTTCGAGAAGCTTCAAATGAAGTTTTTCACGTCTTTCACATTTTATTCTCACGCAGAAAGACACAGATGCATGAAAAACGTGCATCTGCCAAATGTGTTTCAGGCTATTCGGATCTTCATACAAAAGCTCAATGCATCTTTTGCATGTCAGAACTATCAGAAGATCTTCCCAAAAAAACATGCCAAATGGGCCCTAAATTACCATTTACCAATATCGAACTGTTGTTAAAACACGTATATATACAGGGTCGCGCACACGGGAGATGTTTTTTTGTGAAAAAAATTCATTGATCAACTCAAACACCAAACAAACAAGACAACAATAAAAACAAAAAGAAGAAAATCAAAGAAAATAGAAATTTCTTAAAACTAAGTTGGAGTAAATTCAAAAACAAAAAGGTAAAACTAAGATTAATAATTATATGCCTGTGAGTTGCTATATTTACTTCTCGAGAGATCAAAATGAACTTCATTAGACAACCTTTACAGAGACTGAAAATATCCTTAATTATAAATACAATATCTTGATGACAACCACCCAATCCATACCAACTCCACTTATCAACCCTTAACACAACGTTACAACCCACCAAGTAGATGAGAGAAATTGTATGATCACAAAGGGAAGGTCACATCTGCTACGACCGTGGTCACATCCGACCCCAATGAAATGCGACACGCCAGTGTTTGATGTGAGCTCCACGAGAGGGTGGTTTGGGTGGGGTCAACTCCAGCCAAAGAAATGATAGAACCAAATCTATGTAATGCAAACCTAGGAGAATCAATTATTATATTAATAAATAAAATAATATTTGATGGACTATTTTCTTAAATAATTAAAATTATACTATTAAATGGATGAACAAAATTCTTCTTCCCAAAGCGTTGTTGCTTCTTAATTTTAAACAAGGTAGTTTTAACGTATGGAATTAAATTTTCTCCTATTGAAACTATCTGAACCATTTTGTGTGTTTCCAAAATAGGCATAGACATAGAGAATCTCTTTGATATATATTTGTGTATGTGTGTAATGACAAGAAAACCCTTCCCATTAAATGAAAAAAATGTTCCTAATCCATTGTGTGAGAGATCTTTTTATTCATTACTGCCTTGTGTACTAGATTCTCAAATTATAAATCATCATAGAACTTGAGCATTCCATTGCAGCCTCTCTTCAAACATGAATATATCAAATTCTTGTAAATCTATTTTTCTTTATAAAATTGATCTATGAACCCAGCTCTGTGCTAGCCATTTGGAAAATTACTGATAAGGGCGCTCTTAACTTTTTACTCACAACCAGAGAATTTGGACCATAATCTTTGAAAAAAAACAAATCCTCAATGAGAACTTCTACCCAATAGGTCTGCTCAACAATTTTTAAGATGGCCATTACACACCCAATGACTTTTTCAATTGATTGTTATTATCCTTGAGGACAGATCCATTAAAAATGCCCTTATGTAGGGTTCCTTGTTAAATAATTAGTGTACTATGGTTGGTATCAATGGGAATATTGTTATGTGTCCACCATTTGTTGTGTCACAGACCGGCCCTCTGGGCTCGTAACACTGCAAGGCCCAGAAACGATAGCATTGAACACACAAACTTCTGAATTCAAGGCCCTACTCGCCAAGGAGTGGGCTTCCCTATTCAACTCTCTGGGGATAAACTCATAAAAGAAAACCAAATAGCCGAGAAACCTCTAGCCAGGTCTCAAATGTCCTTCATGATAGTGTGGATTATATAAGGTTAATACTTGTGCCTTTACCCATTTATTGTAATCTGTACACACAAGATGATGGCCTGATGGGTAACAATCTCCTTTGTCGAGTTCTAACCGGCCAAAGAGAAATACCTCCTAGAGAATGGGAATAGGAGATATCATCAAACGTAATCAAGATAGTCATTGTTGATTTTATCTCTTAAATTTCTAGATCTAGATTTTGAAACATTAAGATATGATAATATACTGGAGTATGGTCCTCCCAATTCGGATCTCCTACCCACACTTACACATGATACTATAGTTGTACATTGAAAATATTTCCCATGAACGATAGCATGTAAATATGAAAAATGTTTCTAATGTACGGTTGTAGTGTCCTGTGGGTAGGATCCTTGTGAGTAGAAGATCCAAGCTCTGATCCTCTAACTGCAGTGAATGGCATCTCATAATGAGTGTGGTTAAAATAGTATTTACACTTAATACCTTTTTGGTTGAAAAGACAAATGAGGACCTGAATTAACTAAGGTGTCATGTGTAAAGACTCCCAAAAGAGCGCAGGCTATTTTTTCCAAACAGCTAAAGTGAATTCCCTGTTGGTTGGGCACTTCATCTTCGTTGGATATCCCTTTGAGTTCATTCCCACTGCTAGCGACTAGCGAGAACTTCCAATTAATCCAATCCTTCTGACAAGTGTTTGAACATGTGGGTGAACTGCTCCCACATCCATTTTTGCCAGCCACAAGTGAAGGAGCATTGCTTTTCACTCTTGTAAGGTGGTGTTCAAAGCTGGAAGCTATGAAAGCCATCTCTGGCTTTGATACCAAACGTTCATTTTGATCAATCTATCAATACTACTTATAAAAGTATGAATGGGATGTAACTTTCTAGAATTTTCATTCAATAAAATTGGCTCCTTCAATTTGAGTTATCTAAGGGGTAAATTTGTATTTTAATAAAACTTTAATTAAGATGGTTGTCTTGTAGATTTAGTGTCTGGAAAATCCCCTCAGGCCCTGTAACGTCATTGTGTCTTGCAAATTCAGTATCTGATTACAACCGTCAAACTTCGAATTATCATTGCCAATAGGGACTCATTGCACATTTGATCATCATCACCCTTCATATCAATCGCTCAAGGTAAAGCTACAACTTTATATTCTCTTTTTTTATGTATTATTTTTCTACTTACAATTGTGTTAAAAAGTTTAAGGAAAATAATTATAATTATCAAACTTTAGGGGAGGTTTTAATAAATCAAGCTTTAGGATGGTTTCAGCAATTTACCCTTTTCTTGACAAATTCACGAAGATTTGATATATTTGAATGGCCTTGAGTAGTTGAAACGTTCGTATATCATTCAAATGGTTGTGATTAATGTACAAATCTTAAGAGGCTATTTGATGTCCTAGACATTTCTATTAATCTTGTGCATCATTTAGGAGTATCATGTGGGCCGGGCCTTTGGCCTATGTCACTATATACATTATATTTGATATATAATATTTTATATTGTATGACATATAGTATATGTACAAAGTATATATTATAATTTATATATAATATAAAATAAATAAAAAATATATATATATATGTATATATTAATTATATATAAAAATTCACATATTACAAACCAGTTGGTCTGCAATTAGTCCATTCATTCAAGGTTGCTTATTTGTTTTGATAATGCAGGTCATAAATTTTATCAATGCACCACTTTATATGGACAGTTTTTTAGAGTTTGGATCTATTGCTCGCCCTCCAAGTTCTAAAAAAAAGCTGTCCACTTTATAAAGTTATGCATTGATAAAATAACGACCTGGATTATCAATTGAGCGATAGCCCAGTTGTTGTGTTGAATGAATTATTCCAGCTGTGATGTTATATGGTTCGCAAAAGAGTAACAACCCCTATGAAAGTGTCAATCAATGATTAATATCAAATGTGGGGAGTAGCAGATCTAGAGTGGGTTTTTATTAGAGATTTTAATGCACCACTTAAATGGCGGGGATTATTGGAAATCCCACGATGAATATGGTTTGAAAAATAAGTAATTATTTGATGATGTTGAAATTTCGGTTGAAAATAGGTCACTAATCTTAAAGAGGCGACTTTAATGACCTTGAAATTTCTATGGTTGTATTTATTTTAAAATTTTTTAAATGATTTAAATGATAAAATCAATATTTTTGAACCATTATTGACCTGGATGTATGGTCAAACCGTTCAGCCTAGGAACCATCCAGGCAACTGGTTCTGTTTTACCTCAAAATCGATCCTTGGCCAAAAACAGTTGAATTGATCAATGACTCATTGACTTGATTAGTTGAACTGTTGACCTGTTCAACGGTTTTTGACCATTTTTTATTAAAACATGCCATCCATTCAAACCTGATGATCAAACCATCAACTTAGAAACCATTGCCCAAAAGGGTTGTGGTTCCGGTTGGTTTTTAAAACCTTGGATAAAATTAATTAAAAACTTGGTCAATTACATGCATAAATAATAAATGGATAATATATGGGCTTCTGGCCTATGGGGATGTGCAAAGTTTGAAGATAAAGCAAGGTTTTAAAAATTGGACCGAAAACCGTTTTGGCCACTGGTTTTTGGGTCAAACGGTCAACCGCCCAGTTCAAATGGACAACCCATTCTGGGTCAAAAATCATTGTCTGGATTGACATTTCGATGGCCCTAATCAGAGGGTCACTGACCAAATCAATGGTTTTTGGCCCAGATGCGGTTTTAGGGTGAAACAGAACGAGTTACCTGACCGGTTCTCGCGCCAGCCGATCTGACTGGTCCGGTCCGATTTCAAGACCAAAAGGTTTACATTGCCAAAATCCCCCAACTTTGGGCTCTTTTAGGAGGGGGAGTAAAAGAAAATTTATTGCTGAGAAGGACAAGAAAAGCCGAGGTCATCCATGCATACATGGCCTCAAGCAAAACCGCTGGGTGTTGAAACTTTGGGCTCAGTCAATTTCTCTTTTTCTTCCCCCGTCATTCATTAGAAGCTCTATTAATCGCTTTCTGCTACCCATACATGTAGCTTTCCGTTCACTTGAGATCAAGTGAAGTGGTGGACTCCATCGCTACTCTTTCTGAATTCTGAGTTAGAGAGAGAGAGAGAGTCAATGGCCCTAGGTACGAGAACGCCAATCTTTATTGGCTTGATATTGGTTATGCTTTTGGGGATCTCCATCTACTTCAGGCTTTGGTCTATGGATTACAATTTATCTTCCGAAGACAGAGATTTGATAAGGTTGGACTGCATTTACTCCCAGATTCTTTAATTCTTCCCTTCTTTTTTCCACAGTCAATGGATACTTTTTTATGTAGCAGCGGTTTTCTTCATTTTTCTGTCTATTCTTTCGTTTATGGATTACTCATCTTATTAGTTCTTCCTTCTGGGTGAATCGAAATGTATCCTTTGGAGAACCCGTTCACTTTTCTTGAATTCTTTTCGTCAATGTCAAGAAGGTAGTTTGACCATATTACATTTTATTTGTGTTTCACTGTTGAGTTGCGATGACTGTAATGGCATATTACTTATAAACAAAGAAACCCAGAATGTTGCTCCTTCAAAAATTTTGCGTTTCATGAATACCTTTGACGTGATTCGGATATCTTCTCATTTTACCTGTTCCTTTCCTTCCCTTCTCGCTTTTCATGCGTAATTCAGTTTAGGGTATAAAATCGTTCTCCATTTGAGACCGTAGTACCTGGCTTCATGGAAACGCCCCTGTTTAGTCTTAAGAATTGCTTTTCTTGGCGTCACTTCGGTCTTCAAAGTTGTAATATGTGTTTCAATTGGGCTCCTGTTGTCAATTTTACATTGCAGCATGAGGGCTACCCATTTAGAAGGTGGTAAAATAATCATGTATCCATCTGAACACTCCCAGTTAGTCTTGGATTCAGTACAGACTCATCAGAAGCCTATAGAGAGCCCATGAAATCCAGAAGACTCGTTTAAATTTATTTTGGATATTCTCATCATTAAAACTATTCAACTGCTGTGGAAATCCATTCAATCGTGATACTCTCTGAATTCATGAAGGTGGAGAATGAATACTGATACAGATAAAAGGCATTACTGCTGGGGGAGGAAGTGTGTAATTGTCTCCAGCTAAAGCACATTGTTCTCTCCACAGCCGATTTTTTTCCAACCTAATATTTCCTGAGAAGCCTATGCAACATCAATGTTTAATACCTTTTTGGATTTGCTAGGAATTCTGAAGATAGGATAATTTAGGGGAGAGAATAAGAGGAAAAGTGAAGTTACCCTTGGTAGAGAGGTTTTTTATCAAATAAGTATTCAATAAGTGGGCCTTATACTGACCCCCACCCAATGTAGAACATTCACTGCTTTCTGCTTGGCTAGCCAAGTCGTGTCTAGATGATTCTTTAATCACAGTACCAGACAGACATTTGGAGTTGGCTGATTGGCTGAAGTTAATTTCCCATTTCTATGTTTCCCATGATTAATGTAAAACCTTCAGTCAAGACCTACTTCTGTAATAAAGTTTCAACTGAGAAGTTATGCTAAAAAAGAGCTTAGCTTTACTGATTCTATTCTGGAAATAGATCTTTTTTTCCATTTTTATTCTTTTTGCGATATCCCAGTAATATCCTTTTTTTTTCCTTTTTATTTTCTTCCATGATTAGTTTCTTCCCATCCTTAAGACATACTTTCTGTAGATGTATTATGATTGTGCATATAGTTTATATATTTACAGTTGCAACCAATATTGCTTTCATTTTCTCCATATTGCAGGAGACAGTTTGATCTTGCTCACAAGGAAGCAATGGATGAATCAGCAGAATGGAGATTGAAGTATGATGAGGAGGTGGAGAGAGCTACAAAATGTCTTACAGAGCTGATAGAGGTCTTACCTTATCTTAAATGTTTGAATAGTTTTTAAATCGATCTCCTTGTCAATATGTTGTTCCTTATACTGCCTTTTTATAGATATTTCTTTTTTTTATAAGTGAGAGTAATTTTATTAATTCAAATAAAGCAAGTACAGTCAATGTAGGAGGAGTTACGAGGTGTTACCTCCCCCAAGGACTGAACCATAAGCACTAAACATACACAAGCCTGATACACAATTACAAGGTAGCCCAAAACAGATCTCCCCTTGATACCCCTTACTTGGCCAGAGAATCAGCCATTGCATTTGCTGATCTGCTAACCCATTGAACCGACTGTCATATTTCTTGTCAGCCATTTAACTTTCTTTAACAGATCCCTGTAGCCCCAACAAGTTGTTTCTGGATTTGTCAGCCAGCCCACTACTATCTTGGAATCCCCTTCTACTATCAAATTGTTCACTCCAAGTTGATTGGCCAGCTGTATACCTTGTACCGCTGCTAGTATCTCGGCCCTTACAGAATCACCAACACCCGTTGGTCATGAAAATAAAGACAACATGTTTCTGTCTTTGTCTCTTAGAATCCCTCCTATTCCAAATGGCCTTGGGTTACCTTGGCAGCTACCATCAAAATTCAATTTTACCATTCCATCCGGTGGGGGTTTCCATTTGGCTTGTGGTTTTTTCTTTGTGTAGACTATAGAAGCCACTACTGCCCAGTTTCTCCTTAAGTCATCAAAGGAGTAATCCGCCAACAAGTATGAAAATTTCAACCACGAGGCTGTCCTTGTCATTATGCACTCCTTGACTTCAGCAAGGCTTCTTTCCTTTTCTTGAAATATTCTAGCATTTCTCTCCTCCCACAAGGTCCACAAAGGCAGATGGAGTGAATAGCAACTTTACTTCGGAGGGCAAGTTCCACCTACACCCAAATAATGATACAACCCAACTCCAAATATTGGCAGAAAAAAGAGCATGATATCAGAAAATAATTACAGTCCTCACCCTTCACTTCACACATAAAGCACCAATTTGGGGACAAACACATATAAGGTTTCTTCTTTTGCAAGTTTTCCATGGTATTGATCTTACCATAATAGGCTTCCCAACAGAACACAACTATTTTAGGAGGTATTGGCCTTGACCAAACCTCTTTAACAGGGAAGACCCGAGAGGAGGGATTGGAGCAAAGGGATTTAAAGAAAGATGCACAAGTGAAGGAGTCAACCGAGGTTAGAGACCAAACCCTTTTATCCAGGTTATGGGGGTCCAAACACACAGAGTTTAGAAGCAAAAGAGCTCTGAAACACAAGAAAATTCATCATCCCTTAGCCCTCTTCGGAATCCAAAATCCTAGTTTAAATCCAAAGGGAGAACCGGGGTGGGGAAGGAACCATGAAATAGGTTTCTTTTTAAAGAGGGAGGTGGAATAGAGAGAAGGGAACAGTCTTTTAGGGGTTGAGTGCTCACCCAAATATCTTCCCAAAAAAGAACGGAGTTTCCAGAACAAACATCCTTACAAACCTGAGGAATTTGGGGAGAATGTCGGAAATAGCCTTCCAAGGTGTTGTGAGCAAAGCTCTTCAGGATACCTCCGCGTCCCAACTTGATTCAGAACAGCCATGGATACTCTTCACTACTTCATGCCACAACCTCTCTCTCCAGGGGCCACCTCCAAAGCAACTTACCTAAAAGAGCTTTATATAGATATTTCTTGATTCATGAAGTTGTTTGCATTGGTTACTATTGCTTCTCTAGTAGGTTAATTACCATGTATTAAAACTTTACACGTGCTTATGAAAATGATGTATATCATCTTCTTGAATTGTTTTAGAGTGGTTTTTGCTTCTTCTCACACTTAATGTTGTATGCTTGAGGACCTGGCAGGTGAAGTTTTACTTTATCTCAATGTCCTACCTCTTGAGATGCCTACGGGTTCTGGTCAAAGCAGCATGTGCTTTGATATTTTCACATAACCAATGTTGTGATGAGGTTGTTACATGAAAAAAGAAAAGCTTTTTTCTTGTATTTTATACTTTTCTACTCCCTCGATCAAAGTACATCTAGCATTTGTGGATTTAGGACTTAGCATTTTATGTTTTAAGGGCCAATGGCACTGATTATTTCATTATTATGGACATCAAGAAAAGATGTCAATAGATTGTGAAATAAGTTTGTGGAATAGGAATGTCTAGACCCTCCTATCAACCGGAGTGCTGTTTGTAACCCTTCAAGCAGTTCTCAAGTACTCTATGCTTGTCTTCTGTAAAACATATATAGGGAGGAGTGGACAGGATATTTGAGCTTCCTACTTGTCTATGTTTATAACTTAATATTTTGCACGATGTTGTGCTGTTTGTTTTTAAATGTGAAGGACACATTCATTGTCTATCATACTCGGTGCATACAGGATATCCTATATAACCCATTCCACCTTTAATTAGATAAGCATGTTTTTCTCTGGCAGGCTAAAGAAGCTCTTGAAAAGAAGGCAGAGGAAGTTGCAAGTATCAACCATCAACTGACCATGCTACAGAAGGTGACTACTTAGCACCAATTTTTTCATTATTTTGTTCTTGTTCTTGTTACCTTTTGTTGATTTCTGACGTGCGTTTTGTCAAGTAAGATTTGAAACTTGGTTTAGGTCATTTATCATGAAGTGTTGGCATGATTTGAGGGGCATACTGCATACCATAACAACTTGGCTGAATTGCACCCTACGTAATTAACTGCCCTTGAATTTGTTTCTGCTTATGAAAATTTCAGGAAAACATGGGCTTGCTAGGCCAAGTAAAATCATTGAACCAAGAGCTTGAAGCTGAGAAGTTGAAATGCAGTTTACGACAACTTAGATGATCTTTAATTTGGAAATTGATTTGTAATGTGATTATATATTGGAAAACCCACCTTTGCATCCTTCACAAATGTTTTTCCACAGAGATCGGCTAACATGAGGTTGATGAAGGAGGTGCTTCTTTGGCATATTATCGTTAGATAGTTGGTAGACTTCTTGAGATGCTGTATTTCCAGATGAGATATATGTTGCCTCCCTACCACTTACTATGGCAACTACCACAACTAATGTTTTAGAAAAACCTACTACTTGACATTCCTAAATCATAAAGCAGTAAGAGGTGTGACAATGCTTTTGTAATGGTCAATTTTCTTGTCTATCTTTTGTAAATTGACGTCCAAGAATATTTTCCAAATTAAGTATATGCTTTTGGTTTTCTTCTCTCATTCATAGTTACAGTTCTGTAAAGTCTTGCTGAATTATAATTCTTCGAAATTCTTGAGTAATGAAGGATACAGCTTTTGTCTGTAACTAGATCATATTTAAATTTCTTAATAGAGAACTAACCTGCGATGACTCGTACACTCTTGATTCATCAGCTCATATTCCCACTTAAAAGAAGAATCACATGCCCATAAATGGACCACAAGCAGTTTATAACATGTACAGGTATAAAAATTTGAAATGGTTCTTAATTATGTAGACAGGATGTTAAAGATCACATGGCTGAACCTGCTTTTGGAATGTCTTGTCTATTTGGATTGTATATATCAATCTCAGTTGTACCATACGCAGAAAGAGCTTAAGATGGAAAGAAGGTAGTACCCTTGCAACCTACCAGGCTACCATGAAGGTTTAAATGATCAATACGTATGGCATTGTATCATGCAGTATCAAATGTCACTGAAACTCGAAATATTTACAATTTTTACTGTTAATTCCCACCTTTTAAGTGCATATTTAAATATCAAGCTAAAAAAGAAAAAGAGTATTGACCTATTTAAACGAGATGAAGGGGTTCTATACATAGAAAGCTGGATTGATTTTCACGGGATCCACCCCAAATCCGGCTCCAAATTTGCTACAAAGTGGGCTACAAACTACAGATTTATGACACGATAAACAGAAATAAGCATGTAATATGAAACTCAAGATATAGCCCTACGAGTGGGATAGAACAGGATTAAACAATATCACTTTGGTACTGTAGTATTTATTTAGGGATGACAATTTTTCCCATTTTACCTTATTCTTCTGGGGACACGGATAGAGAAATTTTCATCCCTATTGGCGGAGATAGGACGGGGATGGGGAGTGCATTCCTCGCCCTGCAAGGACTCTCATTCTCACTCCATGCAGATCCCTAATAGTATATATGTTTATTAGTATTTTTTTAAATGTCTGAATATATTTGAATCCTTTTTAGTAGAATTATAAATTTTAATTATTCTATTTTTAATTTTTTAAATAAAACAAAAATAAAATGATTAACATTATAAAAAATCACAGGGAATGGGCCCATGGGGATAGGGATGGGAATTTTTGTGAGGATGGGGATGGGGAGTAGCTCCCCACCCCGTTGCCATTCCTAACAGTATCCTGGTGATTGGGCAACATCTCTCCCTAGTTCCAGGTTCCAAGATGTCGCCCAACTTATGAAAGTTTAAATAAAAGGTTATAGACATTTTTGCATGGATGTAGACATATCTGAGAATCCGAATTCAACATATGCCACATGTGATACAATAGATACACACATTTAAGGGATAAGAAGTAAATTCACAATTAAAAATGCATGATGAGGTCGGCCGCAAGGCAGAATAGTGGCCTCGCAACAAATATGACAATAGCTTTGCTTAAAAAAAAAAAAAAAAAAAAAAAAAAAAAAAACACTAATGACATAGTAAGGTCGCATCATAGATCAAGACCTCACAAGGCTAAGTGAAATCAACCTTCACCAAATTGTGAGAAAACATCGACGGGAAAGCCTAGTTGGTGCGCTAGATGAATTGGCCCAATGGTGGTGCAATTATAAATCAGACCTGAAATAATCTGAATTAAAAGAAATGAAATAGGAGAAAAGGAGTTTGAAGAGAGAAATGATGGAGGAAAAAGATTGAAGAAAAGAAAGAAGAAGAGAGAATTGTTCTAAAGTTTCTCGTCAGCCCCCCAATATCTCTTTTATTCTTTTGTTGTAAAAAATAAGGACAATTATATGAGTGCCCTTACTAGGGCATCCACTAAAGGCAGCAATAAAAAACAAGAAAACAGGCCCATAACTAAGGCCCAGTACCTACTAACACAAGTCATAAACATAATTTAAAGAAAAACAAAGAAACCAAGACCCATTCGGCCCATTATCTCTATACTCCCCCTCAAGCTAAGCATAGATATTAGTCATGCCCAGCTTGCTTACACAATGTTGTAACTTTGCCTTGAGGACACCCTTGGTCAAACAGCTGCTAACTGTTGCTCTGAGGCAATAAAAGAAAGGCAAACTTTTTCGAAAGTTACCCTTTCTGTTATAAAATGCCAACCAATTTTAATATGTTTTGTCTAGTCATGCTGAACTGGGTTGTGAGCTATGTTGATCAGCTTGGTTATCACAACAAAGCATTAAGGGCTTATCATGTGTAATACCCATAATCTCTAGAAGTGACCTGAGCCATAGCGACTCTAAAACTCTTATCATCAATACTATCAGCCCAATCAACATCTATGTAAGCCTCTAGCTTCATGTGTCCATGCTTAGAGAAGAGGATACCATTTCCTGGAGTTCCCTTCATATTATACAGAACTCGCTCTACAATAGCCATATGTGTGTCTCTTGGGGCATGCATAAACTGACTGATCACACTAACATCATATGAGATATCAAGTCGTGTCATGCAAGGGTATAACAACTTCCCCAAAAGTCTATACAACACTCCCCTATCTACCAAAAGCTCACCATCACTAGCTGAGAGTTTATGGTTAGCATCAATAGGTGTAGAAGCAGGTTTGGCACCAAATTTCCCTGTCTCCGTGAGAAGATCTAACACATACTTTCATTGGGAGATGATGATTCCATCTTTAGACCTAGCAACTTCGATTCCAAATAAATATCTTAATTCCCCTAAATCCTTAATTTCAAATTCTGAGTTAAGAAATGTCTTAAGTGCCTGAACTTCCTTTGTATCACTCCCTATAACGACAATATCATCAACATAAACAATGAGGAAGGTAACCTAAGTGTCTCTCTTCTTTACAAACAAGGTATGGTCGAACTGTGTTTGTGTATATCCAAACTCAACAAGTACAAATCCGGATCTATCAAACCAAACCCATGAAGATTGCTTAAGACCATAAAGAGATTTCTTTAACTTGCATACATTGCCTTGCATTTCCTTACCATACATATCTCGAGGAAGTGGCATATAAACCTCTTCAGTCAAGTCTCCATTTAAAAAAGCATTCTTCACATCAAATTGATATAAAGACTGATCATAATTCACCGCCAAGGATAATAGAACTCTCAATGTGGTCATTTTTGCAACTAGTGAGAAAGTCTTCATATAATCAACTCCATATACCTAAGTATAACCCTTAGCTACTAGGCAAGCCTTATACCTCTCAATGGTGCCATTACCATGACACTTGATAGTGAACACCCACTTACATCCCACTAGTTCCTTTCCATGAGGCAAATCCACAATATCCCAGCCTCCCAGGTATGATTTTTACACTTCTATTTCAGTTCTTATAGCCTCCCTCCATTCTTGCTTAGACAAAGCCTCTGGTAACTGACTTAGGTATAGGCTAAGAAGAAATGAAGGCTAAGAAAGTATTATAAGATGGGGATAAGAGGTTGTAAGACAGGTGTTTGGAAATATAATGTGTTGTATATTTCATCTTACTTTTTTTCATAGCAATAAGTAGGTCCAAGTCTGGAAAGGGAGGTTCTGAAACAAGCGGTGAAGGACTTGTCCTCTCTTCAGGGGTTGAGAGTGTCTAAAGCTCAATTGTAGACGAAGGAACAACTTGACATTCCATAGCCTCTGTCTCTGGTACCACCTCTGAACAATACGGTAAGTAATAAAAATTGGAGGACTAACAAGAGGAGGAGCAGTAGCATAAATGGTAGAGCTAGGGGACGAAGGCTCTACCAATGGAATAGAAGGAACCATAGAAGACTCAACCTTAGGATCAACAAGAGAAGGCAAAGGAAATGGTGAAGAAAACAGTTCAAAAGAATGCGCCCCCTCAGAAGAATGACCATAAAATGGAAGTGACTCTACAAAAGTAACATCCATGGAGACAAAACAAGTTCCACTAGTGGGACAAAAAGAGCAATAGCTCTTTTGTGTGGAAGCATACCCTAAGAAAATGCATTTCTGGGCCTTGGGTTTAAACTTATGTCTCTAGGAGCTAGGGACATGGACATAACAAGTGCACCCAAAGGCACAAAACGGAATAGGAAACAAGACAACAAAGGAAAATTTGAACCCCAAGACTTAAAAAGGCATGCGGTTAATAAGGTAGGTAGTTGTCATCAATGAATCACCCCAAAATCTCACTAGAACATGGGAGGCAAAAAGGATGCTTCTAGCTACTCCAACATGTCGATTCTTTCTCTTTACTGCCCCATTCTGTTCTAGAGTACGAAGACAAGAACTTTGGTGTATAATCCCAAACTTCTCAAAATATGAAACAATATCTCTCTTAAAATATTCCCTAGCATTATATGATCGGAATATATTGATGCGGGTATCAAATTGGGTAAGCACAAATTCATGAAATTGTTTTACAAATTTGGGTACTTTAGCATCGGAACGTATAAGATAAAACCAAGTGTAATGAGAAAAATCATCAATAAACAAAATACAATATTTATAACCACCCATGCAAGGTAAATGGTATGGCCCCCACACGTTAGAGTGAACAGTATGAAAAGGAACTGTAGATCTTTTATTACTTATAGAATTAGAGTTTCTACAATGCTTTTACAACTCGCATGACTCACAATGTAGACTTGACAACTTAGTTTCTTTAAATAAAGATGAAAACAAAAAATCTCAACGAAGAAAAAGAAATATGACCCAAATGATAAAAACATAACATAATACAATTGACTGGCTCTAACACATTTGAACTAAAAGTTGCTCTCGGAGGTGATACTTGACTTTGTCCAAGCATGTCCAGCAAGTATATCCCGTTCACCTCATGGCCACTCCCAATCACCTTCTGAGAGTCCATGTCCTAGAAAACACAATAAGAAGGGGAAAATGTCACACTACAATTCAAAGATTTTGTCAAATTACTAACTGAAAGCAAATTAGTGTTTAATTTACGAACATGAAGAACTAAGGATAAGGTGAATGTGTCTAAAGCTTTGACGTTTCCCTTGCTAGAGATAGGAGCAAGAGAGTCATCATCAAGGGTGATCTTATCTCGACCAAATAAAAGT